GGGGGGGGGGGTGTTGGGGTGTGTGTGTGCGTGTGTGTGTATTTACCTCAAATTTATTATAATAATACACATATTTAATAGGTGGTTTTTGGACCCCAATATCAGTGGCGACTCTAGGATACATTTTGTGGGGGAATAAGCTGTCAGACATGGCGGGGGGCCAGGGGCTAGAGTTTGTATGCCTGAGGAGGGGGAAGGTTTGGGATTTTTTTTAATAGGGACCTCTGGATGTGAAAGAAGTTTTAGCTTGATGTAGGCCTATTTTTAATTATTTTTTTTGTCCGACTGCCCAAAGAGCTCGACCGATTGGTGGGGGGGGGGCTTGACTTGTCCGAAGGGGCTTAAGCCCCTCTACCCCCGCCCACCATCGATGGCGCCACCACTGCCCAATATAGACTTATGTATATTTGTATATACAGAAGAAGCAAGTCAAATGTATTATGATGTCAGAGAGTTGACAATCAACATTGTAATATATTGTATACACGAGTAAATTGTAATTTGTCACTGGTGATGTTTATTATAACAGTAAAGCCTTGCGCTCCCTTTATAAAATGCCTTGTTCTTTTTGTCTTGTGTAGGCCGTGTGGTGCATTGTTTATGATACATATTTGACATACGATTATAACATCATTGTTCCTATATCCTAGCACTGTTATTATTATATATCTATTTGTGACTATGGTGTTATGTAATAATAATAAATAATAATAAGACATTTTTAAAGCGCGCTAATGCATGCACAAGGCGGCCTCTAGGCGCTATAAAATACATAATAACAAGCAAATATTTTAAACAAGGGAATAGCATACATTAAATAGAAACATTTTTTTTTTAACATTAATACATTTAAAAGGTTCCAATTCTACGAAAGTTAAAAAGCACGGTGAGTGATACATTAAAAGCCAATGATAAAATATTGCCGGAAAAGGACGGTTTTTATAGCAGATTTAAACGCTCCAACCGATGTTATACATCTGACGTTGTCAGGCATAGAGTTCCATAGTGTCGGGCCGTAAACAGCAAATACTCGAGCACCAAAGGTGGTAGTCCTTGGGATTCCAGATGGTCGTTCAAGTAGATTCTGTGACGAAGAACGTAGTGTTCGTACCGGCTTATAGCGTTTGACAAAGCATGTAAGGTAAGATGGTCCCATGTCGTGCAGACATTTAAACACAAGCAACAAGATCTTGTACTTCATCCCGGTATGTTATATATCACTTTTAAAAGTCAAAGTAAAATGTATTCATCCAAAAATGGAAATTACATTTTGTTGAATTTAGAGATTTATGTAAAAAATAGGTTTCTGCTGGGAATTGACCCCTAGTCTAGGTCCCAAACAAAACGACTACATAACAAACAAACCGACTACATTAAAAATACAACATACCGTTACCTACCTGTATATGTAGCCACCGCACTCTTAACTGGTGCGGCACTCGAAACACTACATTTTATTATATGATTTGAGCTAGCTGTTTTTTTAATTATTTGAGTTGCATTACTTATACATGATGTTGCGAGGAACTTATTCCTTGCAACCCATGTTGTTTTGCAACATATCTCGCATATAGCCAGAATCCTCGCCATTTTCCGGTATAACCTTTAACAACATGACCTCGTATGTACGTGACCAATATCACGTTGAACTTATTGATTTATGGCGCCCTCTAGTGTTCATTTTAGGACAATGTGAGTTTTGAAAACTAAGGTCCATTTTTAGATTTGACAAAATATTAACTTTCGTGGATTGATTTCTTTATTGAAAAACACAGACTATCATTATCATATTAATTAATTCGTTTTATTGGGGAAAATACAAGCATTTTTAAGACGAAGACCATCAAAATGCATAGCCCACCATGAAAATACTATGTGTTTACGAGATGCGTCGTACGACCGTCGCCAGATGAACCCAACTCAACTCCGGTCCACGTGAGAGCTAGAGCGCGACGCGCCGTCTGCTGATTGTCTGTGCTACGATCCGTTGCACTATTCGTCGCGTTTCGTCCTCCATAGAATCGCGTCGGCCAACGACCATCGGGGTCAGTGAGTGGCCGGCTTTATAATGAACTAATTTCTAAGCTGACGTATATCGAACAGAATAGAAAATTATTCACTTAATTCTTGAATGAGTTCGGATAATTATTTACTTTGTTGATTTCCTGCTTTTGCAGACTTTCTATTAGTTTTGAGGCATGTCAGTTCTCGCCAAATATAATAATACTGTAATTATATTGGAGACATCAATTAAAACAAAATCAGGCTTCCGACTGAAATTAAACAATTGATATTTTGTGGAATCATGGGAACGATCGGAATTAGAAGAAGCTTGACTTAAAGCTAAAGCCCATCTTGGATCAGCTTATGCGTGAACATTGTCAGAAAACCAAATCTTTAAGATGATGTTGAACACGTAAAGCCGGACACTCATGGACCGTCATTAAAAACGATCAGTTGCGCGCGTGCTTTAAAGCGCCCTATGCATCAAATTTTATTTGACAAAAACATGTGACATGCCTATAAATATGGTCATGATGACATCACATCATGACCATATACAGGCACATCATGACTATATATGGGAATACAACAGTTTCTTGTCAAAGTAAATTTGATAGTCTGGATTGAGCTCCAGTCTTCACAATAATATCGCCAAGTAAACCTTCCTTGTGAGTGAATGGCCATCTTGATCCCGTTGAGGACATGGAAAATAGTGAGATAAATATGTGCAAATAACATATTTGTCTGAGGTTTGGTTTTTCAACGTCTCAAATTTATTTTTGTTTGTATTGCATCTCGAGAGTCACAAAGTTCAACAGAAAACTGCCTGGTGGGCAATGTTAGAAATATTAAGGACCGTGACAAAATACTTAAGATTTCGTAGCACAGTAATACATTATTATTGAAAAGATAAATTCTCCCCTGATTAATTGTTTACTATCTATATATCAAGTACGTTTTAATTTGTCTCAATTAATTTGGCACTTCATCAGCTGATAATTTAATTTGTCTCTAGGGTAATTCGGCCCTAATATATATTTGATTTTCGCCTTTACTGATTGTATTTCACATAGGCCTAAGCTCAACTTTTATTATCAATTAGGCAAAGGAAACTCTTATCGAGTCTAGGTCAATTAAGACTCACTGACCACTGCCCTTTTACCGTCAAGAATGTTGATGATTGTCATTGTTGGGTTAATTTTAGCAAGATGTGATTTTTCATTTTATTTAATTTGTCTTCAAGATACAACATTTAAGATTAATACTGTACATACAAATAAACAAAAAAGAAGCGATCATTAAGAACTCAACGGGATTACCAAAACGCGAAACAAACTACTGTTGAGTGGCTCTCAACGCTGATAAATGATATAAAATTTATAAACAATTAACAAAATCGTATATTATATAAATTAAAATTAAATACAAATATATGTACAAGAAAACTCATCTAAAACTTTACTTAAAGCATGCATTTGAATATGGCAATAATAAAATAATGAGTTGCATTTATTTATATTAAAAAAAATTAAAATTCGTTGTGATTTTGCTTTATTAATTTTCAATTGGCAAAGAAAATTAAACGGCGGTCGTAGGGAACACACTTTTTATTTAGTGCTAGTTGCAACTTGTAAAAATACCGGGGTTAAAACAAACTTTAGTCGTAGTTCGAGCTAAAACTTAAAAATTACGTCATTTCGTATTCTTCGAACTTCGACTAGCACTACGACTAAATGACGCGAACCTCGACTAAAATGATACCTCCGCAGGCCGATTTTTTTAGTCAGAGGGTCAGGCTAAATCGCCGACTTGAATAATTTACCCCACTAAAAACAGAGATCCCAAGTCTCCTGAAAATCGCGGGTTTCTCCCGATTTTTGAGGCCGTCTCCCGCCCTCCCGATTTCTATTAATAATCTCCCGATTTTTTTTAATATCCTGAAAATTTCACGAAAAATGTGTTTTCCACCATGTCATAGAGCAATGAAACAAAATTTCTTATCTTAAGCCAATATACTATGGCGCTCGCTCAGCCTTAAAATGTCATAAACAAGACCAGGGAGTTGTTATTTAAGTTG